CAGAGCCCCTACCCCCCGGCCCACCGCCAGTGGGGACTCGACCCCCTTGCTGGGCCAGTGCACTGAGCCCTCCCTGCGCCCCGGCTGCCAGGCTCCCTGGGGGTGTGGGGTGGGGGGGAGGAGGCCAGAGGGTGGGAGGTCCAGGGTGTGCGCGGGGCAACCTGCCCCAGCAGGGCTGGCGGGTGGCTGCAGGGCGCGCAGCTGTTTGCTGGGCCTTGTCATGAACCAAACACGGTAACTGTGTAACGATTGAACCACACTAATGAATATTGGGCCAGATATTTTCCAGGCCTATTCCGACTGATTACTTGGAGAGCTGAGTACGTCTCCCAATTACCCAGGCAATTAGGCGACTAATTAAACACTTACCCTCCGCGTCATAAACAGGAGCAAGCGGGTGGGAGCCAGAGCGGCTCCGGTGCGTGAGGAACGCCCGCTGGCGGGGTCTCCGCCACACACACGCCCCAGGACCTCGGCCATCCGTGGGCAGGCCGGCTGGGGGTCAGAAGAGCAGGGGACTGGTCCAGACACGCCAAAGGGTCTGTCCAGACCTCCTCGGGGGCAGAGCAGGCCTCTCAGCCCCTGTCGGTTGCCCCCTGCTCCAGGAAGCCCTCTGGCCTTCCCTGGCCCAAAGGACATCTGCTCACTGACCGTGAGTCCTTGTCCGGCCCCCTGGCCCTGCCCTTGGCCCTGGGGTGCCTCTCCTCTCCCCCAGCCCACCCTTTGCTACTCTGCAGAGGCTGTTTTGATCTGCTTAGAGGAGCAAAGCTAACAGGCCTCCCAGCCTCTGACCTCCGCACCCGGCTCCCAGCGAGAGTGATTTTTCTGGGAAATCTATCCGACCACGTCAGCTATGGTGGTTTTAAAACATGCCCTCAAATTAAAACATGGCCCCCATTGTTTCCCTGCTTGCTCATGGCGGGGGTTCTGTACCCACTGCCCTTGAACCTGGGCTGGCTCCTGAGAGCTTCGAGCCGTGAGGGATGGCCGCAGGGAGGCTTGCGCCTCCCGAGGCTGGGTCGGATGAGGCAGGCAGCTCCTGCCCTGCTTCTAGAATGCTCTGCTTGAGGCTGCACATACACACGTGTACAGACACATGCACACATGCATGTGCGCACACTCACACATCTACGCACGCACACGTGTATCCACCTCCAGACAGACCTGGTCCCATGCTCCGTGGGACCCTCGGTCCAGCTTCCTCTGCAGCTGTCAACAGGGAATGTCTCATTCACTTGTTCACAGGCCCGTCTCTCCTGCTGGATGGAGCGTCTTAGCGGGACCCCCAAACCCTCCGAGGCTCAGTGTGCGCCCCGCCCCCCGCCAAGGGGAGTCTGCCCCGCGAGGCCCGAGCACTCAGCACCCTCCGTGGGCTCACTCGGCACCCATCCCAGGTGGGAGGCGTCGAGGAGGAAGGGGGTGAGGCCCTGCTACGTGGCGGGGTGGCCAGGTCTCTGTGTCCCCGAGATCCAAAGGCTCTCTAGGCGCTGCTGGGAGGCACTTGGTAGACGTGGCCGGCGTGCACAGGTGTGGCCGTCATGTGCAGTCAGCCGCCTTTAAGTCCAGGAGGCTATCCTGGATCATCTGGTGGGCCGGATCTCATCAGTTAAAGGCTTTAGCGCAGAACCGAGGTTTCCTGAGGAAGAAGAAATTTCACCCATGGACGGCAGCTTCAGCCTGTGCCCGAGAGTTCCAGCTGCCCTCCCAGAGGCCTGCCCTACAGGCTGCCGACTTGTCTGCCGGCACCCACCTCATCGGCCGACCTTGCAATATCCATCCATCCATCCATCTACCTACCTACCTATGTTATGTACAGGTTAACCTACACTTTCTCTGGTGGACTCTGACTCATACAAGTGCCTTCTGTTCTCTCTTCATTTAACAGCTGTTTATTGAGCGCCTACTGAATGCCAGGATCCATGCTAAGGACTAGAGCCTACGGTCTGTGAGGAGGAGCAGGGAGTTGTAGAGACAGACGTTTGCTAAATAACGATATTTATATATGAGGCAGAACTGCAGACTGACCCTGTGCTCTGAGGGAGGAGCCTGGGAGCCTAGAGAAAAGCTGATGAAAGGGATGGGTCAGGGCAGAGAGATCAGGGAGGGCTTCCCTGAGGTGGTGACCTTGGGCTGGGCCCCAAAGGAGAGTGGGTGTGAACTAAGAGAAGAGACAGAGGTAGACACATGTGCAAAGTCCCTGTGGCAGGAGGGAGGGTGGGGTGGAGGGCCTGGAGGAGGGCAGGGCCCCCAGGGCAGAGAGGGGACGCTCGTACATCAGCGTCAGGGGCAAAGGTCAGGGTCAGGCCTTACCCTATGGGCCTTAAGTGGCCGCCGATGACTCATGTGACTGGGAGTGCTTTCCAAGGATGGCCGCAACAGTATCTCCCATCCTACACGCTCTTCTAGAATTCTCCTCTCCCCTAGCAAGAGAAGGGGCCTGCTTTCCCTACCCTGGAAGGTGGGCCAGGCTTAGCACCTCGCTCCCAGGAAACAGTGCATGGCAGAAGGGCAGCTCTGTGGTGTCCAGATTGAGTGGAAAAAGGGTTGCAGCTTCCACCCGCCGCTCTCCAGCCCCAGCCCTGGCTCCCAGCCTCCGTGCTGTGGGGAGGCCCAGGCCACAGGGGAGGCTGTCAGTCTCACTGACCATGAGATGGGAGCTGGCAAGTGTGTCTAGAGAAGAGACCCGCCGATCGGGCGAAGGTGCAGGTTTGTAAGCAAAGCAATGTGGTTTTGAGCCACTAGGTTTTGGTGTGGCTTGTTGCAGTGTTCTCGGCGCAGGGGCTGGGAGCCTCTCCACGAGCCCTCACACTCCAGAAAAGGGAGGAAGTGGAATCCAGGTAAGTTACAGACTTGCCCGAAGGCACAGCCTGGAGGGGCTGTGTCTGGACTCGAGCCCAGGCCTGCCCGTCCATCCTCACAGCTGGACCTGTCCCACTGCCTGAGGATGGCACCTAGGGAACATCAAGGGGCTGGAGGGTGTGATTTCATCTGTCGGGACAGGCAGAGGGAGGGTTCGGGAGCAGGGGGCGGCCCCCTAAGTGCTGGGCAGGCCCTCGGGCCCTGGACTGGGGGCAACACCTACTGCAGGCCAGCTGGGGAGCCTCTCTGGGCCCGCACTCCAGCCTCACATCCTTGGGGCGCTGTCCCTACCTGAATCCCAACGTCATCTGGAAAAGCCAGGCGGTGGGGGCGCAGCCTGGGGCTCTGGGTGGGGATGCACGTTCCCCATCCCCCAGCCTCCTCTCCCTGGTTTACAATCCAGAGGCTGAAAGGCCCGGGAGGCTGGGCTGAGCCCCAGGCCCAGACAGAGGTGCTGGCCATCCCCGGGAGAGCTCAGACTCCACAACCCCAGGATGCCGCGGGGCGAACGGGGGAGGAGAGAGAAAAGGCAGGACTGGGACCAACAGCCGGGAGCCTGACCGTACTGGTGTCCCGGGCAGCTTGAACAAAGCCCCACAAGCAGGGTGACTGGAAGCAACAGAAATATATTCTCTCCTGCACGTCCCGGAGGCTGAACGAGGCTTGGGTGGTGGCGAGGCCTCCTGGGGAGCCACGGGAACAGAGGGCTGGTTGAGCAGGGACTCACTGCAGCCACTGCCTCCAGGAAGAATGCCGGGCTTTCCTCCATGCCACCCTGATCTCTCAACCCCCTTCGCATCTCCATTCTGCCCAAGGGAGGGAGAGAGGGAGGAAGATGCACGCTGGTGCGAAAGGAGCACGTGGGTGAGTGAAGGGGTGGCTGAGGCCGGCAGGCCAGCAGGCGGGGCTCCTCCGAGAGCTGGAGCTCCGACAAATCCAGGTGACCCGGGAGTCACTTCTCTACGTTGAGCTCAGTTTCCTCATCTCTACAATGGGCGACATGTCCCCACCTCAAGGGGTCCGTGCAAGTCAGGGACATGATCCCCAAGGGCCTTAGCAGGGCTTGGTGCCCATGTGGCCCCTGCTGAGGACAGGGGTCCTGCCATCCCGGGAGCCGAGGTCCAAGGCGGAAGGGAGGCAAGTGAGCCTGGCGCCGGGCCATCCGCTGGGGTGGGCACGGCTCCTGGGACAGCTATCCAGGACGAGGGCTGAGGCTCTACCTTCATTTCTGGGTTGTCGTCTTCCTGCCCCTCTGGGACCCGGTAGCAAGCATCTGGGGGCCCTGGTCAGGGCTGTTCACTGACCGGGCAGCCAGGACGCCCTGGGACGCGCCCCCCCCATCCATGGGCACCCATGGCCCGGGGACCCATCCAGCCCAGCGCTGGGGGCCAGCAGGGGACGCCAGGCCAGACAAAGGCTCTGTGTCAGCCCAGCAGTGGCCAGGAGTTTAAGAAAACAGGGGCCTTCCGTCCATGGGCGAGCGCGGCCGGCGGGGCAAGCCCGGAGCTAATTAAATCCACGCAGCCGGGGCCACAGAGGCCGATTGTACGGCGAGAGGATGTTAATGCACATTTTAAATATTTATTGTAACTGAGGTAGGTTATGAAAACAGACATTCCTCCTTTCAACACTCCGTGCGTCAGATTTAGGGCTTGTCTGGCGCTGAGTGATTTCGCAGCAGCCGGCAAGGCCGGGAGCCCGTCCATCACACCCCACGGGAGGCCAGCGGACGCTGAAAGATTAGCGGGCAGATGGATGGGCTGCGGCCGAGGGGGCGGGGCAGCGGCACACCTGTCTGGGCTGGTGGCCGCCCGGGTGCCCCGGTGACAGCAGCAAGGCTCTGCCACCACCTTCCTGGGTCCCCCGCACCCAGGAGGGGGACCAGGCACCCTGCTCCCCTCTGGCCTCAGTTTTCTCACCCAGAACATGGGAGCAGAGGAACCACCGGACACGTCTGTTGGAAGCAAAATAAGACGGGCGTGTTCGGGGGTCTCCGTGGTGGGAGCGTTCCCATCACGGCCAGCCTCACGCTGCCAACGTGACATCTCTGCAGGCAGAGCCATGAACAATGGGCTCTTTGACTGGTGCCGCCAGAGCATCCAGGGCGGGGCCTCCCTGGAGCCCAGTCAGGCCTCAGCGAGTGGCTGGCCCTTCCTCCCTCCGGGTGGAGGCCCCAGATCACTCAGAGTGAGGGGTGCGGAGGACCCTGGGCCCAGGCGGGCTGGGGGCTGTGCGGCAGGCATCTGGGGACTCCCGGGGTAGGAGCAGTGGGGACCGGGCAGCAGCAGCTGTGCTGGAGGCCTTGGAGGGTCGGTCCTGCCGTCCTCGGGGCATCAGTGCCCCCACCTGTGTTCACCGGGGTGGTGGCTGCCCGATGGGAGGGGCGGCTGGATTCTGGGGTGTTGGGGGCATTGGGAGGAGGCGATGCCCTGGCCGAGCAGGCGGTGAGTCTGCTGCAGAGTGAGCCGCCCAGCCGGGTCCTCCAACTTCAGGTCATCCCACTAGAGAGGGTCTCTGGGGACAAAGACACAGTTCCCTGCCCCCACCGTGGCACTGTGCTCAGCTGAGCAGACCCCAAGGGGACATTTCTGAGGTCCATCGCGTCCACTCTGAGAGCCCTCCTGCCTCATGCAGAGCTGGCGTCCCCTCTCAGGCCTCTAGCTTTCACGCGCCCACTGACGGGCGGATCACTACCTTCCAGGCCATCCCTCGCTTGCCCAGGTCCACGACAGCTCCCGAGGGCAGCAGACGGGACCTCATTGCCATCTGGGCAGGACACCAAAGTCGACAAGGTAAGTGGCCATTTTCTTGCACCTACAGGTTTTACCCCAATTCTGTTCTCGTGCTGCCCCCATCTTCCTTCCTTGTGCCAAGTAACCCCTCTCCTCCTTTACCCTCCAGGGCCAGGGTCCCTAGTCCCCTCACCACGTGCCTGCCTCTCCCTCCCTCCCTGTCCGCACTGTGGGACGGCTCCAGGCTGTCTCTGGGCTTGTGGGGTGGGCCCAGCACCTCTCGGGGGTCCCGCTAACAAGCCCCTTCTCCCCGCTGACATCCCTGCTGACGACCTTCCTCTGGGTGTTGCCTCTAGAAACCAGGCGGCCTCGGCTGGCAGCCCGAGGGGCAGGACGCCGGCACAGGGTCCCAGCACCGCTGTCCGCCTCAAGCTGGGGCGGGCACAGGCGCCGGGCTCCCAGACAGACACGCACGTGCCCGTCTTGCCAATTAGGGCCCGAGGCGCCATGAGATGGGCTTGTTAGCACAGCACAGGGGGAGCCAGCACACGGTACGGCTGGTCGATGGGGGATGCGCCGCCCGCCTGCATGGACGGCCCCCCACCTCGAGGATCAATGGTCCCCCCACCATGGGGCTGAGGCGACAGCAGAGGCCCCCTGAGGCTCGGGCCCAGCGGTAGGCAGCCTCCCAGCCCGCAGGTCAGCCCTGGCAGACAAGACTGGACCACGTCCCCGATTTACAGACACAGAGACCGAGGCTCGGAGACTCTCCTTGGCTGCCCAGCCCCCCTCAGTGAGGCCAGGGTGCACATTTGGGCTCAGCCAGGGTAAGAGCCTTGCCTACAGTGACGACGGAGTGGGGGCACACTGCTGGCAGGAGCGGGTGGGGGAGGCCTGGGGTGCCCAGGACGCTGGAAGGCAGGACCCCAACCCCCTGGGCACCTTCGACGAGTCTGCCGGCCCCTCTGGGCCTCTCAGCCGCCCCCTGCTGCCCACAGCCTGGATCTGGGTGCCCAGGGCCCCCGTCCATCCTGGAGGCTTCGGAGCAGACATCCAGCTTGATGCAGAAGGGGTGGGAGGGAAAGGCAACGCCCTCCACCCCCTTTTACAGAGGGAAGAACTAAGGGCCGGACGGGGCCTTTAGCTGCCCAGTGTCACCAGCCAGTGAGCAGAGATGCTGAGGCCAGAACCCAGGTGTGGGTGGAACCCAGGGAGGGTGGGGGCTGGGTGAGGGGCAGGGAGGCCTCAGGGAGCCCACCTGGCAGCGGTCCAGCCTGGGCCCTGCTTTGGCCCAGGTGGGAGAGGACGGCGGGGCAGGTGTGGGCTGGAGGGGCCCGGGCCAGCCTCCCAGGGGAGGAGCCATGCCCCCACCGTGGGGGGCCCAAGACAGACCCCAGCCCAGCCTCTGTGCATCCAGTGTCACTCCTGCAGACCCAGCAGGTGGCCATGGTGGCAGGCTGGGGCACCCAGACCCGCCCTCTCGCCCGGCTCCTCCAAGGGACAACAGAGAGACACACACGGGACGGGGGGGCCAACTACACCTTCTCCCCATCGTTTCCACAACCTCCTGAGCTCTGGGTTTCTGTCTTTGCTCCAAAACCAATCCATTTCTCACCACCACTGCCTAACTGGCTTTCCTGATGTGGCGTCAGCGTTAAAAATAAGCAGGTGTCCCCAGCAGGCCACCCCTGCTCTGGCCCGTCCCAGTCCCCGAGTCCTGGCCTGGTGTGTGGCTCCAGCCCCACAGTCCGGCCTCCCTGGCTCTGCGTGGCCCTGAGGGCCCCGGCGTGGCCGTGGGCAGCCCATCCCCTCCCCATTCCCCTGCAGGGGAACAGGGCAGCCAGAGCTCAGAACCAGAACCCAAAGGGGCACCAGGCCCACCCTCTGCCCAGAAGCAAGCCACAGGGGACACTCCAGGCTCCCCGTAGGTGGCGGCTCCGTCTGATTTTCTTATTGTGGTAAAATGCACATAATATAACATTTATCCTCTTAACCATTTTTATGTCCAGTTCAGGGGCATCAAGTACATACACAGTGTGGTCACGTTGGACAGCCGTCACCATCGTCCGTCTCCAGAACTTTCCATTTTCCCAAATTGAGACTCTGTCCCCGTTCCATACGGATGCCCCTCCCCCTCCCCCAGCCCCTCGCCCCACCCCCTACTTTCTGTCTCTGTGACCCTGGCTCCTCCAGGGACCCCATAGGAGTGGACTCACAGTATCTGTCCTTCTGTGTCTGGCTTATTTCACTGAGCATCACGTCCTCAAGTTCCATCCACCTTGTAGCAGGTGTCAGAGTTTCCTCCCTTTTGAGGGCTGAGTGATATTCCATCGTGTGGATGGACCACACTGTGCTCAGCCATCCTCCGTCGATGGACACTGGGGTGGCTTCCACCCTTTGGGCTGCTGTGAACGTGGGTGTACACGTATCTCTTTGTGTCCTGCTTCCGATGCTTTTGGGTGCAGACCCAGAAGTGGGATTGCTGGATCATATGGCAGTTCTATTTTTATTTTTGGGGGGAAGCTCTGTACTGTTTTCCACCATGGTGGTACCAATTTACACTCCCACCAACAGGGTGCAAGCGTTCCAATTTCTCCACATCCTTGCCAATGTTTGCTATTTTCTGTAGAAATATATATAACATTATTATATTAAAAATATATACTTCATCCTAATAGGTGTGAAGCGGCCCCATTTGATTTTTGAAATAAAATATTTCTTAGAAAAAAGGTTTTGGTGCCCCTGCTTTATTGAGGGTCTGCTTCACGGGCTCCCAGCCCATTTCTTCCCCTGGATATGACACTTCGCAGCCCTCCTGGCATCAGTGGGGCCACCTGATCACGTCCAGCTTGGGGCCTTCCTGGGAGCTGCCCCTGCCCCCCAGCTGAGTGACACCAGGCGCTCACAGGGCCACGCGCTGTGGTGGGAGGGGCCCGAGGACTGCCAGGACCGGAGCCCCCGTCGACCCAGACAGAACTGCCACACAATCGAGAACTCACCCTTGGGGCTGCCCTGGTGACGCAGTGGTTGAGAATCCGCCTGCCAGTACAGGAGACACGGGTTGGAGCCCTGGTTTGGGAAGATCCCACATGCTGCAGAGCAGCTAAGCCCGTGCGCCACAACCACTGAGCCCGCGCGCCTAGAGCCCGTGCTCCGCAACAAGAGAAGCCACCGCAGTGAGAAGCCTGCGCACCACAATGAAGAGTAGCCCCCGCTCGCCACAACTAGAGAAAGCCCGTGCGTAGCAACAAAGACCCAACGCAGCCAAAAATAAATACGTTTTTAAAATAATTAAAAAAAAAAAAAAACTCACCCTTTAATTCTGCTCAGCCGCTGAGATCCGGGCCACCCGGGGTAGGGCTGTGGGAGAGGTGCCAGCCTGGCAGTGCCTGGATGGCCAGCGTGGTGCCCGGGAGCTCTCGGCCTCCTGCCCCCCCGCCCCGCCCAGGTCTCCCCCTGCAGCCGAGCCCACGGGGGAGGCCGGAGCGGCGCGCGGGCGTGTGGGCCCCCGGGAGCGGCTTAGCCGCGATTCCCCGGGTCAGTGTATCAGCCCAGCCCCGGCCCGGCAGCCAGATGGTCGCTTCAGCAGGGAGAGAAAAACCTGACACACCATTTCAAACCGATTTCACGGCGGGCCTCCGGAGAGCCCCAGCAAGCTCCTGGCAATCCGATCTGTTGTGAATAAATATGACAACATTGCCAATTACGGGAGGGAGCCTTCAATTATGGGCCGGCCGGGCTGGCCGTGGCCGTGCACTCAGGGCCTGACACCCCTGGGGAGGCAGCCCAGTGGACGGAGAGCGCCGGGCCCGGAGGAAGGGGAGCTGGGCCGGGGCCAGATGCCGACCAGCAGGCACAGGGGTGAGGCGGCCGGGGGCCCCGCCGGCTACTGCCCTCCCGCTATACCTCAGCCCGGCTTTTGGCCCTGCCCGCCCTCTGCTGCCTACAGGGGCTGCCAAGCGGGTCCTGGGCAGGGTGGTGGCTCTACTGGGGGGGTGACGGCCCCATGCCCACCTGGCCCTCAGCTCAGCAGCCCCCTGCAGCCTGGCTCGGACGGCACCCTCCCGACCGGCCAGCAGCTCCCAGGCCCAGGTCTCCAGTCCACAGAGGAGGCCCACAGAGAGGTGGAGACCCGCCCCAGTCACCCAGCAGAGGGCAATGAGCAGAATTCAGAAGGCGCGTCCCCTCCCACTGCCCCATGGCCACCCAGCACACAGGTCAACCGTGGCCCCTGCTCACCCCACCTCAGCAGCTCCGTGACGGGCCAGCCAGCCAGCCTGTGTCTGAACTTGTATCTGCCACGCGGCCCAAGGCCCCCCCCGCCATGTTGAGATTTGCGCCCATGATGTATTTTGATCAGGTATATAAGGTGACAGACATGGAGACCACTGCCTTGAAAGAAGAGTTCATCGCTCACAGTTCCCCAGGGGAGGGGGCGGGCCGTGCAGGGCCACACGGGGTGGCAGCGGGTCGGTCCAGAGGCAGAAGGAACCTGGGGGGAGCAGGGCCCAGAGCCTTTACCGCAGTTTTCAGGGGATGGGATGGGTGAGGCGGGGTCAGCAGTGCACTGGCTTATGGTTGGATGGATTGAAGAACTGGGGCAGGCTCTGGGCTATAGGGGGGTCTCCAGCTGTCTGCTTCCTGGCCCTGGGTGACTGAGGGCAGGGAAATATTGCCCTGGGAGCGTGGGAGCCTGAGAGAGGAGGGGTGGGCTCTGTGTTGGCTGGTTCCGTACGATAGGCGCGCTCATGGGAGTATCTGCCACCTCTCAGACCAGCTAACCCTGGGGCAAGGGGCACTTTCTTCCTGGCCAGCAGGGCCCCTGAGACGTCAGAGCGTCGTAAAATACAGAAAATAAAAACCATGGCGGATATGCCTGCCCCTCTGCAGCGCTCAACCTCCATCTGCAAAAAAGGAACGCGAGCAGGTTGACGCCCTCCCGCTCAGCCCCAGGCATCTGCGCCCCGGGGCTGTTGGTCCCCTCACTTCTGGCCTGGCATCAACCCTCCAGGCAGGGGCCGTATCTGGGCCCCCCCCCAACAATGTGGATCAGCTCTGCCCATCATGTTTCCCCTCCCTCTGCTGGAGGGGGGAGGGGGTAGACCCCCTCTGCATAGACCTCAGTCCTAGCCCCTTACACCCAGCCTCCCTCGGGCCTTTGTCCAGCCCAGACCCAGGAATCATGTGGACTTAGGTGAAGATATCAGCCCTTCCCTTCATGGGCTGAAAGACCAAATAGGCAGGATAGTACCGACCACCCAAATACTTTATCTGAAAGACTTAGCGCAGTGCCTGGTACATGAAGAGCACTGAACGAATGCTGGCCACTGTCGGCACCATCACCTTCATCGCCAGGATCATCAGTGCCTTTATCACCGGCAGCGCCATCATCGTCTTCATCACCTTTATGGTTTTCTTTCCCGTGTCCTCCTCTCTCCCTGGTTTCTGAGCTCCCTGAGGACTATAGGACAACTTCTTATTGTGTTTCTGGCACAGGGCCTGCGGCCAGGTGGGAAAGCCCAGACTCTGAACTCGGGTTGACCTGGGTCTGAACCCTGATGCAGGCCCTGGACAGTGGTGTAAGTTGTACACTGCACAATCCTAGGAGAGCCATTTCTGGGGCGCTCACCCACTTACCAGCGTCATGGCTCTGGGCAGGTTACTTGAGGCCTTCAAGCCTCCGTTTCCTCCTCTGACAAACAGGCTTGTTCTTCACGGCCGTTTCTGAGACATGAATGAGTTGGTGCAGGCGACGCCTGGGCAGAGTGCGTGCGGAACGACTTCCGGTTGATTCCCCTCTTCCCCCAGAGTGCACCTCGCAGGCCTCTGACCACCCTGTTCTCCTTGTAGACGCCCCTCCATAACAGCCCAGTGCCCTGCGTCCCCCCGTCCCCAGGGCACCCAGCGCTTCCTTCAGGGTAGCCTGTGATGCCCGCCGAGAGGCCAGTCCCCCCTCAGGACCCTGTGGGCACACCTGCTCCTCCACCCGGATGGCCCTTCTGAGGGCAGGAAGGGTGTCCCTGTGCCAATGATCCCACAAGGGGTGGCACCCCCACTCCGCTCCCCCCAACCTCCTCCCATCACAGGACCAGAGCGATCCTCTTCATAGGAGAACTTTTTTTTTTTTTTGTGGTACGTGGGCCTCCCACTGTCATGGCCTCTCCCGTTGCGGAGCACAGGCTCCGGACGCGCAGGCTCAGTAGTTGTGGCTCATGGGCCTAGTTGCTCCGCGGCATGTGGGATCTTCCCAGATCAGGGCTCGAACCCGTGTCCCCTGCATTGGCAGGGAGATTCTCAACCACTGCGCCACCAGGGAAGCCCCTAGAGCCTCTTTTAAAAGACTGAAAGGGACTGAGGAGAAGAAGGAGGCCAGGAGGGTGTGGTTACCCAGGAGCTGAGGAAAGAGTATGTCAGGCTTGGGTGGTGACTGGTGCCTCTGAAGGACACAGAAAGGGGATTGGTTTGCCAGGAGCTGAGCCTCTGATTTTAGAACTTTTGAAAACTTTTTATTTTGAAGTAATTTCGGACTTGCGGAAATGCTGCAAAATCGTGAACAGGATTCCAGTTACCCTCACCCAGCTTCCCCTAATGTCACATCTTACAGAACCGGTGGTGTGCTTGTAAGGTCTCCCCCTCCCCCCAAAAGTCCTGCTTTGCACCGCTAGCCTCTCTCTATGGTATAAATACTCCCACCGCGGCCAATCTGCAGAACTTACAGCTGGTTTGCAAAACTCCTGACTATCTAACAGTTGATTCCCGCCAGGGTCCTGGGTATAGATGCGGTTCCTGATACAAGCCTTTTCCAAGGGTCACCAGTCGTCCTGCTGACGCCCATGTCCTGTCCCACGACGTTGCGTTGCACGTAGCTGTCACGTCACCATCATCACGGTCACTCTGGGACAGAGCCTCAGTCTTTTTTGCGACACTGACACTTTGTCAAGAGTGCCGGCCAGCTGCTTTGTCAGACACTCCTCCGTGTGGCTTTGTGGGGTCTCCTCATGACTGGGCACGTTCGGGCTGTGTGTTCGGGGCAGGAACATCCCCAAAGTGATGCCATGTCTCCCCGGGGCCTCAGGTCAGGAGAGCCTGGGATGTTTGTCCCGTCCCGGGTGATGCCAACTTCATCACCTGCTGGTGCCTACTGGC